TTCCCTCCCTCTTTCCCTCCTTCCCTCCCTCTTTCCCTCCTTCCCTCCTTCCCTCCCTTCTTCCCTTCTTCCCTTCTTCCCTTCTTCCCTCCCTTCTTCCCTTCTTCCCTCCCTTCTTCCCTTCTTCCCTTCTTCCCTTCTTCCCTTCTTCCCTTCTTCCCTTCTTCCCTTCTTCCCTTCTTCCTTCTTCCTTCTTCCTTCTTCCTTCTTCCTTCCTCCTTCCCTCCTTCCCTCCTTCCCTCCTCCCTCCCTCCCTCCTTCCCTCCTTCCTCCTCCCTCTTTCCTCCTTCCCTCCCCTCGCCCTCCTTCCTCCCTCTTTCCCTCCTTCCCTCCCTCTTCCTCGCCCCTCCTTTTCCCTCAATACCTCCTTCTTCCCTTCTTCCTTCTTCCCTTCTTCCTTCTTCCCTTCTTCCCTTCTTCCCTCCTTCTTCCTTCTTCCCTTCTTCCCTTCTTCCTTCTTCCCTTCTTCCCTTCTTCCTTCTTCCTTCTTCCCTCCTTCCCTCCTTCCTCCTTCCCTCCTTCCCTCTTTCCTCCTCGCTTCACCCCTCTTTCCCTCCCTCTTTCCCTCCCTCTTTCCCTCCTTCCCTCCCTCTTTCCCTCCTTCCTTCCTTCCCTCCTTTCCTTCCTTCCCTCCTTCCTTCCTTCCCTCCTTTCCTTCCTTCCCTCCTTTCCTTCCTTCCCTCCTTTCCTTCCTTCCCTCCTTTCCTTCCTTCCCTCCTTTCCTTCCTTCCCTCCTTTCCTTCCTTCCCTTCCTTCCCTCCCTCCTTCTCTCCCTCCCCTCCCAAACCTAGCCACTTTTAGGTTACTGGACTATATGTGCAAAAGGTTGTCGGTAATAGCCGCTGGATTGGATATTATAATGTCTCTCTTTGCTGATATGTTTAGAGCATTTGTGTGCTAGCAGCCGAAAGCCACTAGCATTCATGTGTTTCGTTTCACGAACAGAGACTTTATCCAGTAGCCCACACACAGAGGGTCGTGTGGCACTCATTAACCGATTGCAACATTGTTGCAATTGGTAGTTAAGGGCTGTGGCGAAACCAACCTCGCCACTGTGAACTGGAGAAGCCTGGTTGCTCGCCTGCTCCCTTTGGACTATGGCCCTGGAGGTTAAACCGTTTATTTCCCCTGCAGAAAGGCTTATTTGTGTGATCTGAGTGCCATTCATCTAATAATGTGCACTCAGATCCCAGCTACCTGGGGATATGTGAAATGTCTGTGTGTTATGTGACTTTATGTATTTTAAAGTGTTTTGTGTCTTTTTGCAACCATGTGCTTAATGGAGTCTTGTGTCTATCCTGGGAGATAATTGAATTACTCTCCAGGATAGAAGACTCTGAAACTGGTTTGGGCCAGAAAGCCATGCTTCATTTAGTCACAAAGGACTTTCCCTTACCTTTTGAACCCCTGGTCTGATTCGTGCCATTTTTTTAATATGTTGTTCCCCTGAATGGATTTATTATGAATATGTATGTTTTATGTTTGTGACATGTATATTTTAGAAGTTATACATATTGTGTAAAAACTGTATTCCTCTGCCGGTGATAATGAGATTACCCATTGTGTTCAGTAATCATATCACCTGCAGAGGGGAGGATTTTGTGTGGGAGTGTCTGGGTGTATTGTACGGATTGATTGGTTGTTTTGTAACGCCCTGTGGGCTGTACTATGTTTGTGGATTGGGAATAAAAGAGACTGTATGTGAAAGTACAGGGAGTTCCTGTTTTAACCCTCAAAGTGAAGTGTCGTCTCATTATTGGGGGAAGGATTTATTGTATGCTGTTCCAGTTTGACTGCTAGGAGAGTAAACCTATTCGTATGGTTCCTATTCAACTGTCTACAGCATTCATATGCTTGGGAGAATTTATTTGTTTCCCCGGTTCGGTGATTGTGGTGTCTGCCAGAGTGCTTGGAGTCCTCAGGAAGCGCTAGGAGCATCCTTTAACGGAGGTACCCAGTCGGGGTGCCAGGCGATCCGTTACAAGGGCTTTCCTAGGTGGCTGTCGTTCGTGAATAAAGGCACAGCTATATATTTTAATGTAAAATGTCAGTTCTGCTGCACGGAGGGATAATCTACTTAACGGTATATTCCAGTGGGAGTATCCCTCTCGTCCAGCAGTGCCTGATGGGAGAAATGTCCAGGTTGCTAAGTTCCCCATGTAGTCCCCCACTGTATAACCCCTGCAATGTCAGTAGGGAAACCCCTTGCATGGGGTCTTGCATAAATACTGTGACCTGTGAATAAAAACCTGAGTTGACTCCCAGAACTGTGTTTCGTCCGGTTACTGGGGGATTTGGGATATTGCCTTACTTTTCAGCGCTTTACTTTGGATTACCTTCTGTACCAGCAGAGATCGTGGAATTTAATATTGCGGCTCCGCTACAGGTGGTCACACAGAGAGAGCATTTAAGTTTGTGGTTAGTTTGTAGTTAATGAGCCAGGGGGGTGGTTGTGGATGCTGAACTGGGGAAACGTATATGGGTTTGGGGAAACTTATAACACAAATTAGAAGGGGAATGTCTTGAGAACACGATAAATAGTGAGTTTGTCACATCGCTCCCCCTCCCAGATCCATGGAATGGCATTCCTGCCTAGACCCCAACAGGTTGGCTTGGGGATGTCCAGACAAGATGTAGCTATTTCTCCAGTTGTGTTTGCCGGGACAACCCATCGGCGTTGGCATTATGCTTTCCCGGCCTATACTGCATAGTGAAATTGTACGGTTGCAGTGCCAGGCTCCATCTTAAAAGCCTTGGGCCACTGTGTTGAGCCAAATTAGGGGATTGTGGTTGGTCATGATGGTGAAAGAGCATCCATACAAATAATGCTGTAATTTCTTTAGTGCCCAGACTA